ACAGCTCAGCCTCCCAGCATGCACTGCTGCTGCAGGAGGCCCCGTTTAAACCAACCTCCGGATGTTTTGCTGCCTGGCGTCACGTCTGTGACATGAAGCCGTCCAGCAGGACAACGGAGGGAGGAACCAGAAGACCGTCAGAGGTCCGACGCCAACATGGAAAATCATCTCTTAAAGTGTTTAAGTGGCTTCTGACAAACTCCTCCATCTGATTGGACGGCAGGTCTCCTGACCAAACCAATCAGATGCTTTATGACCTTTATGAACAGACAGGAAGCCTGAGAACAGACTGAGCTGCTGTAGTGCCTTAAAGTCTCTGCTGGAGTCAAACAGGAGCCACGTAACGCAAACAGGACGTCTGAAACCTGCTACCACTACACATATACACACACAGATTGATTTTACTTAATTTTTTAATCACTGCAAACTGTGAAAACTAAAGAAATCCCTGAATGTCCAGAAGTGTGGAACGTCTCATGTGTGACGTGTGGTTCTGTTTGGAAAATTCACCACATCTGAGTTTAAAATGACGACATTTCATCAAAAACACTTTATTCTACGTCTCATTTAACACAATAAGACGTTCCTTCTCTCTGGTCTCCATGGTTCTGCTGACAGCAGACGTCTCTGAGTTCTGTCTCCTCCTCCAGGTTCTGGTTCCTCAGAGCTGCACGACTTTATGCTGAAACATGAACCCAAATTAAACCTGAAGCTAACTCTGACTATATCTGGTGAGCACAAAACGAAACCGTGAGAGAAAAAGCAAATAAACACAAAACTAAAGTCAAACATAAACTGACGGCATGTCTGAGCTGCATCCAGACTCTCGGGTGAAACTGATTCTTGTCAGAATCACGGTACCGCTGCAGGTCGTCAGTATGTTCTCAGTCGGTATTATTCAGATAAAGTTTTAAGCTCAGAGACAAGCAGCTGCTCGTCACACGTTGATACACAAAGACATTAAAATCCAACAATATGCAGCAACACAACTAAAAAGATGAAAAAATGAACTTTGGTGATAATTGATGCCAATAAACGATCACCAACAGCTGACTCAGCAACAGTTTGATGATTATTCTGGTAAAAAGCTCAAACTGTGAGTAAATAAAGACAAAGTGCTCCAGATGCGACCAGCGGAGGATTTATGAAGCTGCTGGTCCTTCACACACAGTTTAGTGTGATTTAAGGGTTCCACGGTGGAGTTTTAAATCCTCTGCTTCAGTGATGGATGTGAGTGTTTATCTGCCACAGTTTAACATGAAGAAACAACAATCAGTGGGAGATAAAGAAAAGCCGAGTGTGAGCAGCTCTGAGTTTACAGCCTGCAGACCTGAAGCGCTTCGTCTCAGAAACAGCAGCAGCAGCAGCAGCAGCGACCTTGGACCAGCGAGGAGACGCTGCTCAGCTCCACATCAATATTTCAGCAGCACAGTTGACACATCAAAAAAACAGAAAGAGAGCGAAGAGAAGAAGGAGAGAATGCCCAGCGATTCCAGAGTCATCTAAAATTCATGCATGCATCATCGCCGCCATGAATATTCATACGCAGATGAATATTTAAGTGCGACTCCTATGGAGAAATTAGGTTCATCTTTACACTTATCAATAATTCGCAGGCCAGGTGAGTCTCATCGGCCGCTAAATAAATCATGTCTGCACACAAAAAAAAGTTTGGAGGAAAGACGCAGAGAAAAGAGTGAAAACAACACAAAGTTACGAGTGTGTTGGTTTGCAGCAAAGCCTTCTGGGTAAAACCAGAGAGAGACGTCAGCGCTCCGACTGCGTGGAAGCAGCCGGACGGCGCTCATCATCTGTGAATATATTTACTGTTGGAAACTTCCTCTGAAGACTCACATCACAGCTTTGTTCTGGCTCAGTGGTCCCTCACAGAGGACAAGCTAATGATGCTCCTGCTAAAGCTAGCAGGTTGACATGCTAACACCTGCTGCAATCCAAAAGTTCTCAGACTGGTTTTGTTCAGAGACACAAAACCACCAGAAAAACACAAACCAGCTAATGCTCCAACCGACACGGAGCAGCCATGAAACAAGTGGTACACGATCGTCTGAATCCTCCCACTCTCCCATCGTCTCCCTGTGACTTCTACTTTTTCTCCTTCTCCCTCTTCTCCTCCTTCTCCTGCTCCTGCTGCTATCTTGAATTAAAATCGTTGTTCGATATAAAAAGTTCATATAATGACTAACAACACGATTAAAAGTTTAGAAAACATTATTTCAAACTTTGGTGAATATTATTATCAGGTCAAAAAATAATCATTAAATGTCCAAAATATACAAATGTGTCAGAGAACATAAGGAAGTCTGAAAACATGAGTAAAATCCAGACGCTCCGATGTTCACGGTAGCTCTGATGTGGTCATGAGCTGCTCGTCTTCCTTCGCTCCTCGGTGAGGAGGAACTCTGAGCATTTGTAATGTAATGTAAAAGAGATGTTGAGGTAAAGGCAGGAGGAGGACAAGGTTGGAGGAGGTTGGAGGTGCTGCAGGCTACAGGACCTTAAACCAGGACACTGAGGTTTGAATCACGTGATTCTCTTGTTTAGTTTCATTTTATTTTGGGACCTCAGCCTGGTTTTCAGCCACCGTTTAGGTTTAGGAGGAGATCCAGGTTTGGGGTTAAAACACCCTGAT